CACCACAACATGCTGAGTGATGGGATACCGTCTATAACATACAAGAAAACATCAAATAAACATCCCAACAGCTAAGGCCAAAGAGGGGGAAAAATGGAAGATTTTATAAAATTTTTGTAGTCCATAATTAAACAATTGTACATTCAAGATGTGTTAATTGGTGACTTTTAATCCAAAAGTTGGAAACAATGAACATGGAGTCAGAAAGTACAGACTTGGTGGCAGTAATGAAGCCAGAAATTAAGTGAATGAATTTTGTGGGCTTAATGGTTTATTCGTTGCAAATACCTTTTAAAAAAAAACATAAACAGCAACTTTACATACGAAACTCACCTGATGGACTGCATAGGAATCAGATTGACTACATCTGTGGAAGGAACAGTTGCAGCAGCTCAACTTCAGCAGTCAAACAAGGTCAGGTGCTAAATGTGGAACGGTTATCTTAGTAGGATACCAGTATATTCTTCTTGTTTCCTCCCCATCAGTTATCTTACTACATTGTTAAATAATCTGTAAATCACATCAACATACACTGTTTATTGTTGTTTTATGTGCCATCAAGTCACCTGCGACCCATAGCGACACTATGAACCCTGTCCTGTCCTGACCCAGTTTCACTAGCTCTGAAACACCTACCCTCATCGCCCCAGTTACTGTATCAATCCATCTCATCCAGGTCCTTCCTCTCCTGTGCTGCTGTCCCTCCACCCTTCCAAACATTTTGTCCTTCTCCAAGGATCAGCCCCTCCTGGCCATGTGCCCTAAGCATGTAAGACAGAGCCTCAAAATCCTAGCCTCCAAGGAGAAATTTGGTTTTACCCTTTCCAAGACCTGTTAGTTTTCTTGGTGGTCCATTAGCTTGTTCAAGACTCTTCAGCAGCACAACTCCAAGGCATCGATTCTTCTCTTATCTTTAGTCCTTGTCCAGTTCTTTGTTGCATAGTAAATAATTGTGATTGGATCAGGCTCACCTTAGTCTCTAGAGTGACTTCAATGCTTTTCAGCACTCTGAAGATTTCAAAAGACAGCTCAGGAAGACAAGGCAAAATATTATAATGAAATGTGCAAGGAGCTGGAGTGGGAAAATCAAAGGGCCAAACTCACTCAGCATTTCTTTTTTCTTTTATTAGGTTCATCTTAGTCTTTTTAAAAAGTTTATTATTTTCTTTCCTACTAGTTTATTTAGAAAATTCAAATACAAATTCAAACAAATTATTTCAATTTCCCTCACTGATCAAATTGTACAACCCCTCTCCCCCTGCATATACACATCCCTCTGCTTCCAGCCTCTCCCACCCCTCCTGGATCCTTACACTCATTCCACAATAACAGTTTTATGCAATATTTATCAGCATTTCTTAAGCTAAAGGACCTAAGGAACAAATTCAAGCCTCGAGTTGCAATGATTAAGGATGCTATGGACAGAATATTGAGTAATTCAGGAAGCATTAAAAGAAGATGAAAGGAGTATACAGAGTCACTGTATTAAGAGAATTGGCTGATGCTGAAGATTGTTTTCTTAAACGCTTTTATTTTTAAGGAGCCTTGTTGGCACAGTGTATACCTCTGGGGCAGTAAGCCAAAAGGTCAGCAGATACAACCCATCAGCTGCTCAGTGGGAGAAAGGGTATTGTTTCCTCCTATAATAGCCCTAGAGACCCAGTAAGAGGGTCCCTCTGAGTCAGATCTGACTGAGCAGCAGTGGGTCTGGTTATATTTATGTTCTCAAGGAATCCTGCTGGCACAATGATTAAATACTCTTCTGCTAATAAAAAGGTCGGCAGTTTGAACCTACCAGTCCCCCCATGATCTGCTTCTCTAAAGATCCTTTAAGGAGCTCTGGTGGCCTAGTGGTAAAAAGCTGCGCTGCAATTCCTGAAAGCACGCAGTTCATTTCCACCAGTAGCTCTTGGGAGAACGATGGACAATCTCCTCCTGTGCAATTAACTGCCTCTGAAAACCTGCTGGCAACCCAATTTGAAGCACACAACAACAACAACAAAGATCTTTTAGTTCCTCAAGTGCTTAGTTCCTATGTATGGCTGTGGTTGTTGTTGTATACTGTAGAGTCGGAACCAACCCATAGCTGACCTTCTGGCGCGTTTTCAGAAGCATTTAATCAAACTAGAGGAGGCTGCCCGTCCTTCTCCCTCAGAGCAGCTGGTGGATGTCTTTGGGATTGCAGCCCAGCTTCTTGCCACTAGGCTATAAGAGCTCCCTGTGTATGGTTATGCATCAGAGAGTTGGACAATGACCAAGGAGTATAGAAGGAGAATTGATGCCTTTGAGCTCTGGTGCTGGAGAAGAGTATTGAGAATACCATGGGCAGCTAGGAAAACAAAACAGATTCGTCCTGGAAAGGGTTAAACCGGGTGGTTCCTTGGAGGCAAGGATTCTGAGGCTCCGTCTAGCATACTTTGGACATGTTGTGAGGAGAGACCTGTTCTTGGAGAAGGACATCATGCTTGGGAGGGTGGAGGGACAGCGCAGGAGGGGACGGCCCTCTATGAGGTGGGTTGATTCAGTGACTGGGGTAATCGGGATGGGTGTGTCGGAGGCAGTGCGATTGGCACAGGACAGAGCAGAGTTTAGGGCTGTTGTACATAGGGTCGCTATGAGTCGCAAGCGACTCGACGGCATATAACAACAACAACATGTATGGTTAGTGGCTGCCGCAGTGAGCATCACAGGATAAGGTAGTTCCATCATCTCAGAAAATTCTGCTGAACAGCTCCTAGGTGGAAGTAAAAAAAGATAGATGATAAACATAAGTCTCCATTAATATAGATTCCTGTTAAAAGGAGGCCTAGGGACATGGAATCAGGCCCAGAAATATCTGTTGAGTTTTGACTTTAGGTCATTCATAGAAACCTTAGCAGATGGGAGCTAAATAGAGCTTGGAGGTCTGTTTTTTTTGGACCTTGACTTTACACCTGAAGTGAATGTACTTGAGAAGTTAATTTATTTTTTTTACATTTAATTTGAATTAAAATTTATGCAGTCATGTGTGAATATTGAATAGATATTGCAGTGACTGTGAAGACTAGTTTGCTTATAAGTTGCATATATTTCCTTGGACATAAGTTTAAAGCAGATTCCATTATCATTGCTTACATCAAAGGACATTTTGACTTTGAGTGGCCCACATTATACACTAAGTAGAGAAAACTGTTGTAACAGTTTCTAGGTTTGTAATTTAAGAAGGTCAGTTTTTAACCTAGAGATGGGTCAAATTGTTTAAAAATGTCTATAAATTGCTTTAGAGGCAAGTATAATGGGACTTTTCACTTTGGGCATGTTATCAGAAGCCAGCCCCCTGCAGAAGGACATATGCTCAGAAAGAGTTAACAGAAGAGAGGAAGCCTTTCAAGGGGATGCATTGACACAGTGACTGCAGCAATGGGGGTCGAGCCACAGACTGTGACGATGGCACAGAATCTAGGAAGATTTCAGATCTGTTGTACACAGGGTCACTATAAGTTAGAGTCTTCTGGCATCTAACAACAACAAATAGATTAGATTGTCCAGTGTATTCAACAATAAACCCAAAGCCAGGAACCAAGTACTCTACTTGCATTAAAGTCAGAAGGGATGGACATGTAGCTAGGCAAGTGACAAGCAGAATTTCCTGAGAAAGTAACTCAAACACTAAGGCTCTCTAGCTCCAGAACGGAACGGATGCCACTACACTAAGTGTAGTCAACAAATCTGAAAACGAAAATAGGCGGTTTAACTTTTGGGGTTCCATTAATGAAAATAAACCCCGGAGCTCTGAGGGCCTTAGTCTGCAGCGAGTTGCACTGTTAACCTGAAGGTGGCGCCACTCTGGTGCTTCGAATCCACAGCAGACACAGAGGGAAAGAGATGGGCAATCTCCTTGCGTGCAGTTTACAGCTTCCTGAAAACCCACTGGAGCGACCACCAGGAGTCAGCTCTGACTTGACATCAATGAGTGAATGTTGTTGATTTTAGGTGCCAGAGGTCTGCCTTATGAACAGCTGATCATATCCTTTGATAGATGTTCTGTCCTGTGCCACCCCCACAATCTCTGACACACTCGAGCTCACTGCTGCCATCACCGCGTCAATCCATCTGGTTGAGGGTCTTCCTCTCTTTCATCGACCCTCCACCTTCCCAAGCTTGATGTCTTTCTCCAAGGACTGAATGAGGGAGTATATATCGATAATGAATCTTAAGAGACAAAATCAGAGCAATGCCTAGGGGAGAGGAGCGGAGGCCTCCCCCAGGAAAGGCTGGAGAGAGTAAGAACTCTTGCAAGGTGACCCCAAGATGAAAGCGGTGTGGAGGTTTAGGGCTCCAGAGAGCAGCTGCTGGAATGCTCCAGCCATCGCAAGGTGACAAGATGGCCGCTGCTTCGCTGGGACTCTCTGCGTAGGATGTGCGGACAGATTTTAGGTGCTCCAGGGCAGGGCAGGGGCGAGCAGAAGAGGAGTTAGCTGCAAGTAGAGCATCCTGAAGTGAGGGGGAAATGAGCCGCTAGAAAATAGACTATGAGAGCAAGAGGTGAGGAAAGGAAGGCGGGTGCGTGGAGGGCAGCCACTGAGTGCGGCCAGCATCCCGGGGCAGGCAGGGCAGTGACGGGGTTCGCCTGGGCCCGGGGGGCGTCAGGTCGGGAGGCCAGCTTTGGGCGGCGGGGCCGCGCGTTGGGCCCGGGCACGCGCTGCGGCGCGCGGGGCCGCTGGGAAGTTGGGAGCGCGGTCCACGGGAGCGCGCGCGCGCACAACAGGGCCGGGCCGCAAGCTGCCGCGGCTGCCGGGGTTCTTCCTTGAGCCGCTGTCTCTGCGGGCTCCCGACTTGCCTTGGAGGCCGCAGCCGTCGACGCCTGTGGAGGGAGTCGTGTGTATCCCCGGACCCTGTCAGTGGAGGGCCAGCCCCGGGCGGCTGCGGTCCTAGTGTCTGGGCCCGCGTGAGGAGCCGGCCGGAGCGCAGCGGCGGCTGAGCGTTCCCCGAAGAGCCGAGACCGCGCAGAGGAGGCGGAGGCGCCGGTCTGGCCTCTCCCGAAGCGGGGAGGAGGCCGAGGGGACCATGTCTGGGAGGAGCACCCAACTCTCTACTACAGAGCGCGTCGTCAAAGGTGCCAACCGGGCAGGGCCCTTCCTCCTTGACCCTCGGGAAACGGCTGTGGGCCGGGCGACGGCTTACGGGAGGGCGAAGGCGAGCGGAGACCATGCAGCCGCAGTCCGAGGGGGGCGCTGGAGGCGGGCTGGGGGCGCGGGGCTGCGCCCGCTCCCCAGGGAGGACCTGGGCGGGGTGTGACCGCGGGGAAGGCGGGGATCCTCAGGGGGAGCTGCGGAGCGGGGACCCCGGGCATTTTCTGTTACACCTAGACCGACAGCTGGAGATGAGTCATCTCCCTCTGGTAGGGCTGGCTGCCAGGTGGGGTGGGGATTCCTTCTTCCCAAAAGGACATGGAACCCCATTATTATTATTATTATTTTAATTTAAAGAAATGACTTCTCTAATCTCTTTTCTGGGGTGACACAGGCAGGGAGTTTAATAGATTCTTCCAAGTCAGATCTTCCTGCCCCTCCCCTTTGTAGGATCAAATCTTCCCTCACACCCCCCCCTTAAAGAACATTTATCAGTACTTCTTGGTCCACTTTCCTTAGACCTTCAGAAGCCTTCAGAATACTATTGTTAGTGTTTAAAGAAATACAGATACTTAAGACATAAAGAAATCTGTTTTATAACACTTAAAAGGATTTACATATCTCTTGAGACGATGTTGGTGTTTTATTTCCCCTTTGGCCATACAGAATGATAGTCCTTGATTCAGCTGTCCACCTGAATTAGATTTTTGTTATTATAATAACTAAACCTAAAATATTCTGTTAACATTTTTGTAGGGTTTTACTTAGTAGTTCTCCCCCTTTGCATTTAAATGAGTAAGATATGTCAAACAAAGCTATTAATTTGTGTGCCTCTTTTGTTCGGCCATAGGACTTTAGCAAGAGCCTCTCTACCCTTTGAAGCACTAGGTTATAAGAAGGGAATTATACCCAGACCAGCTTGTGTTAGTGGCCTCTGGATGAATGAGTTAGCATTAGAGTGGGAGAGTGGGAGAAAACTATTGAAATCCTTTCCTCTACCTCTACATAGGTTTTAGAAGGAGAAAGGAAATGAAGATTGATGACCAGATTTTTTTTAAGGAGAAAAGTCTATTGAATATTCAGTGAGGGGGAGGAATTTTAATTTATTACTTACATTTCCCACTTCCAAGATGTCAGTCATCCTCAGTGTTGATTATCCTCATGACAAAATAGTAAATATAATGGGGGATTTTAAGAATAACTGAGAGAATTATTTAAGAGACTTATTTTAACTTAGGCTTATTTCTTTAACTACTAAGTTATTTTGTGCATTTTAGTGTAAATCTTTATAGCATATAACCAAGTTTCAGAATATACCACACAACCTTTTTCTGTGAATCAAGGTCATCATTATGGACAGTTATTTGCATACTGTGCTGTAAATATGGCCAGAACATTCTACTGTATAAAGCTGTTGACAGTTTTCTCTTGTATTAAAATGATTCCGGATACATACATATATAGTTTCTTGTTCTCCCTTAGTAATGCTGTAATAATTTGCCTTCTAACTGCCACGTCTCAATGAGTTGATAGTTAGGGAAATCTAAGAAACTGGAATTGTATGTTAAGATAGAACAAATAGGATCTGAGAAAGAACCCTGGTGGTGCAATGGTTATGTGCTTGGCTGCTAAATAGAAGATCAGTGGTTCAAACCCACCAGCTGCTCCTCTGGAGAAAGATGGGCAGTTTGGCTTTGTGAAAATGATGCTCTTGGAATACGTAAGGGAACAGTTCTACTCTGTTCTAGAGGCTCCAGGTATGAATTAGGATTGCCTCGATGGCCAGGGTTTGTATAATTTGGTCTGGAGTAGAGCTTAGTGGCAGTTCTTTTAGTGGCATTCTATAGCAGAATCTCAAATTCTGTTCTAGAATGTAATTTCCCTTGTAAAAGGCTGCAAGAAAGAAGGGAGATGTTTACATTTTTAAAAGTAAAATTAAACATGATTAAAAGGAAAAGAACTGGTTCATTAATAGCATACTCATTCATTGTGTCACTGAACATCAGCATCACCATCTTCATAGGGTCAATTTATTATGCAGTGAAATGGTAAATTATTGAATGTCGTGTACTTGTAAAATTACGTGAATAATTTCAGGCCCTTAGAATTTGTGAATTTATCACATACATAAAAGCCTTAGCATGACAAGTTTGATCACAGCCACTTCAACGTTTCATGACTTGTATTGTATTGCTTTATTTTGTGTTCTCCAATTCCAAATAGATATTTCTACTATGAAAGTAAAGGGTCACTGTATTTAGAAGTCTAAATCATTGCATGGAATGCTGGTCTGATGCTATCTTGTCTGGCCAGATTGTCTGCATTTATTCACAGTTTGGAGGCGTTTTGAGAGGTGAAACCACACCCCAGTTATTTTTGGTTCTGTCATTTCCTGTTAACTTTAAAGATTACTTGTTTTGTTGAATGAATCTTAACCGGGAGTAGGTGGGTGGTAGCAATTTATGTTTTCAAAGTGTCTTCGTATTTTAAGTGTCTTTAGGAAAGCTGCTCAGCAGCTTTCACTAGTCCCGTTCTCAAAAATGTACTTAGGTTTCACTCCTGCTACTAGTGCTTCCTTGTGACCTTGTCTTACATTTATTTTTGCTGCATTAGTCTCATTTGCAAAATAGGGTTAATAATACTTACTCTGCCAAGCATCTGGGTCATAGAAGTGACATAACGGATGTCAGAAGCTTTACACAAAGTAGTATTATGAAACATGATTTTTTTAAAAAAAATTTTTCTGTACAAGTAGTAGAAATCATTAATATGAAAAATTATTAGAATTGGAAAATTATGAAATTATAACATAAGTAAGGAAAATGGTTCCAGTCAGAAAGAGACCTGTTCTACAATATAAATGATGTGAACAACAAAATGAAGAAATGAATATAGCTCTCTCTGGTACTTCCCTGGCAATTAGAGTTTTCTCTGACAGTTGAAGGTGTTCGTATTTTTAAAAAATGCTTCTAATTTCACTCATCCACTGAGTGTTTATTGTGTAGCATCTATAATGTACTCTACTAGATATTAATTTACTTATTTGCTTTAAAAATAATGTCTCTATGAACCTATAAAGTCCATATGCACTAGGGCATTGCTTCTGGTATCTGGAAGAGAGAATTAGCAACTCAGCTAATTGAGTCATGACATTATTTCAGTTTGATCTTTTTTCTAGTTTCTTCTCTCCCTTCTTTCCTACTCTTCTGAATTTCTTTTACTCTTTGAGGGAATTTGTTTTCTTTGAAAGTGATTTTTAAAATAGTATTAGGAAATTGCAATAGGAGAGTATTATTTGGTGATTGAGATTTAAAAAACTTCAAACTTCTTTTTTTTTTAAAACATTGATATATTTCTCTCACTTCCTTGAGATTCAAATGTATATTCTTATATCACTTACTATGCCATTTGTTTCCCACATGGGAGGCTACTGTTTCAGTTTCTTTTCATAGACCTGGCAAGGGGACAGTTATGGTGCAAAACAGTTTATGCTCTGCTACTCACTGGAAAATTAGCACACCTAATGATATGAAGGAAGAAAGGTCTGGCAATCTATTTCTTTTTAAAATTTTTTTCATTTTAATGAAAATTTACAGATTTCCATTTATTCATTGTGGCATTCTATTTCTATAAGGGTGATAGCCAAGACTATGGAGTAATTCTTCTCTGGAACTCATGAAGTAATCCTGAATGGAAATAGAACTGGTGGCAATGATTAAATGACCTTGAAAGATTTTGAGGAGAGCTTTGCTGACAAAAATTACTGTTCTCATAAATCTACCATAAGTCCCAGTTTGTTCTCTAGTATATCCTCATTCATTTCCACACTTCCTCTTCCCCATTTTTTGTATATCAGAATTTACTGTACTTAAACATCTTTCTTTTTTAAATATAAACCTAACTCTACTAGTTTCAAAAACGTGAAAAGGGATGAAAACAAAGATTTCATATTACTCTCATCCAGAAACAATTGCTCTTGATACTTCTATCTGCTAGTATATTTTGGGTTCATAGGAAAATGGATCACATCTATCAAAGCTTTCATTATGTGAATGTTTACATATTAACATAAATCTTGTAATTGTAGCTAAATGTTTCCATGATGGTTCCAGTTAGCATGAAAAAAGTTTTAAAAGACTTCTAGGTCTTGGTTCTTTTTATAAGGTAGGCACACATGAATCATTTTATAAAATGTATCACCCTGAAAGCAACATAGCTTTACATATTCCAAGTATAACATTTCAATGTTAACAGTTTTTATAGAGATGTGATGGTAATGGTGACCTTGAGGAAGATAAAGCAGTCTGATCTGGAAAGATAGTTATGTGTCCTTAAGTCACCTGTGACCCATAGCGACCCCATGTACAACATGAAGCTTGCCCTGTCCTGAGCCAGTCACACTGTTTCTGACTGACCAACCCTCATTGCCCCAAGCTACTGTATCAATCTGTCTCATTTGGGGTCTTCCTCTACTGTGCTATCTCTCCACTCTTTCCTACATGATGTGTTTCTCCAGGGACTGGTCCCTCCTGCTCATGTGCCCAAAGTATGTGAGACAGCTTAAAAATCCTAGCCACCAAAGAAAAACTTGGCTTCACCCTCTCCAAGACAGACGTCTTTGTTTTCTTGGTGGTCTATGGTATATTCAAGACTCTTCTCCAGCACCACAACTCAGAGGCATTAATTCTCCTTCTGTCATCCTTAGTCATTGTCCAGCTCTCTGATGCATGCATAGCAAGTAGTTGCAAAGACTATGGCCTCGATCAGGCGCACCTTAGTCTCTAGACATTGCATTTCAGTACTCTGGAGAGGTCCCTGATAGTAGATTTTCCCAGTGCAATTCGTCTTTTGATTTTGTGACTATTGGTGCCAAGAGTGTTGATTGTGGAGCCGAGCAAGCTGTAATTGTTAACAACCGCAATCTCTTTTCCATCTATCATGGAGTATCCCAATAGTACCAGTACTATGCACATGTATAGTACTG